GCCACTGTCCCCGCTTTATAGATGCAGTGACTGAGGACTAGTAAGAAGTGACAGGTGTAAAGTTGAAAGCTTTGACCAGAACCCAGGTGCTTGTTTTGAAATGTACTGTGTCTGTGTTGTCCTGATAGCAACCTGGAAGGTGCCTGGCACTCAGACTAGATACCATCTGGCTGCAATGCTTTTGCCACCTTGGTCATTGTTGCATCTATTTTTTTTTTTTAAAACACATTTGTAACATTTTATTTTATTTTTTCCTTGTTGCACCTTCCTGTAAGTCTGATTGCCCTGCCTGATGACTGAGCAGGGGTCAGCACGTGGGCCTGAAGTCACCCCTGATGTTCTCCACAAGAGGGAGCCCGGAGGCTTGCTTTCCTAGCACCTCCCCGTGGAACTCTCAGGCCTGTGTGCTGGTGGCTGCACAGCCACTGCTTCCTAGTTAACCCTTTCTGCTCCACGGAAAGATCAGGGACAGGGACAGCTGTGGACGAGGAGCATTCTGAACCATGCTCTGCCCTAACCTTTGGGGCTAGGGCCACACCGTCGGCTCCTCTGGGTTCAGTCTCCGCGCTCAGAGAACTGGCATCTAACGGCCCTCTCAGGCCTGACATTAGGAGACCTCAAGGTGGGGTCCAGTCTTCAGCTTCTCACTCTTCTGAGCATGCTCCTTCCCCCCACCTTCAGCAGCACCTCTCTTCTGTGCACTGGCCAGGAGGGTTTCATGGGCACGTTTCTCTTCGGGCTTCCAAAAAAAAGCCTAAGAAAGCTTCGTGGTCCTTCCAGAGGAGTCCGAAGCTTGAACGCAGCTTAGAAACCTTTCCCAGCGGAAGGCCTTGGTCCTTAGAAGAATTCAGAGTACCTGAGTTGTCTGAAAGATGGAACGCCCCACAGAAGAAGAAAGGAGCCCTGGACTCTGGTCCTAGCTCTGTCAGGAGGTGACCTAGGACAGGTATGCCACGGGGCTAACATTGAAGACCATGTGCATCACGTGCTTACCAAGCCTGGACCAGGAGACTTCTCGGGGAACTTCCATGTCTCTGAGCCATGCAAATCAGTAAGGAACCGGGCTCTTCACAGCTTTGATTACCCCCAGAACTAGAATGTTCTGTTCTACCATGGCAGGTGTGTGCAAATCAGAATATGTGGAGACAGTTTCCCAGTTGGGGCAGAGCAACATGCCCACAGACAGACAGCTGGAGCTGGGGCCGATATTCCCCCGTAGCAGACTGGCAGTGGACAGCTGAGTCTATACAGCCTGCTAGAAGGAGCTAGAAGGGCCTCTCCAGGGCATCAAATCCACACTGCTCTTCATCTAGCTAGGGACACACGCGTGCCCAGACGGGAAATTCCTGGATTGTAACCCCCAGGCCATCCACTCAGCCATGACTTGCAGAAACGTCGCATTTTCCCCCTGTAAGTCTTCAGCTCTTCAAACGAACCCTCCCCCCACCCACCCACCGCTGAGAGTACATTCATCTGGGAAATGAATGAAATGGGGACTATTTTTTATCTATGTTCCCAGCATTCAAAATTCCAGGGACATTACAGGATTCCAGCCCCATGTAGCTCTAGCTGTTTCCAAGCCCCTCCTCCTGTCTTCACAACCAGAAAAGAACCGTGTGGACTCCCAGGGTGACGAGGAGACACAGCCAGGTCACAGGTCCACCTGCTCTGCAAGAGCTCCCTGACCCTCACAGCCCCCAGCGCCTCTTCCAACAGCACTAAACTGGTCCAAAATTTGATGCCGATACTGCGACTTCTGGTGTGGTCTGTGTGTCCTCGGAGGTCCTCCCATTGCCTGTCTGAGCAGGGGCGAGAGCAGTGTCCGTCACTAGCGGCGTGTGTCCTCCGCTGCGGCGTGCCCTTGGAGCGTGGTGTCTGGGCCCGCAGAGCGGGCTGCCCGTCTTCCTGTTGACAGGCTGGTGCGGGGCAAGGCCTCCTCCGGGCCCCGTCCAGGCTTCGCTACCCTATCCGTTGCATCTACAACTCCTGCAGTATCCCGGGTCCCAGCCCCTTTCCTTAGCAATGTCATTCTTCAAGGGCATTGCCCGTGTTTTTCCTTTCCCTGAAAACCATCTAAGAGATTCTTTAAGAAAAATTAAAATACGCCATGCCATTTGACTTCCGGAAATGCAATTGCTTCAAAATAAGGTGGTTTTTTTTGTTTTGTTTTTTTTTGTTTTTCCATCCTTGGGTTTCTCAGAATTACAGCTGAGGTCAACCCACCAAGCATGCAAAGACCAAAGGGGAAGGAAAAAAGAAGCTGCAGGTGTGAGAGGCAAGCCCGGGCTTGTCCCCTGCAGCCCTGTGCACAGGAGCTCACCTGAGGCGTGAGTGGACACTGCCTCTGAGCAGAGCCAGTCCTCGGTGTGACCGTCAGCCTCACTCCAGGGCACGAGCCTTATCCTCTCGTGTAGTCTGACCTAACCTGCGGGACCAATGGGAGAACGAGGCCCGGTTACCTCAACCCCGAGGGGACAGGCAAGTCAAGCAACCCATTCACCTCGCTCACGCCTTAAGAATGTACCTGACATTTGCGGAGGGAAGACAGAGAAATGAACTAGATGACTCAAGTCAACAAACACTTGCAGAGCATCTCCTGGGCTGGGCAATGGGGAATGTATGATCAGTGGTCTCTTTCTGGTCATGGAGGAAAATGAGCAGGCAGAGGGAAGGGCAGAGAAGGTTTCCCAGGGGAGATGACAGCCAGGCTGAGCTTTAAGAGTTATCACTTGCCCCGGGAAGCGGGATTCCCAATGGAATGGCAAATCAACATGGTGTGCTTGGGGGGCACCAGAAGCCCCCAGACTCCAGTAGTGAGCAATCCACTCAGGCACTGGAGCCAGACAGCCTGGGTTGGACTCTCCCCTCTGCCGCTGACTAGCTGTGTGAATGCAAACAAGTCAGCTAGCCCTTTAAAACCTCGGTTTTCTCATGTCCAAGACAGAAATCATTATACCTTTCATATGAGAATTAAATAAAACAATGCATGTAACGTGCTTAGCCAAGTACCTAGAAAATTAGCCATCATTCAATATGCATTAGCTATTGTTACCGCTAGCACTACGATTGCTACTACTGCTGTTGTTAGTAATTAGGACCGAAGGTGAGGGAGGAGAACGCAGGGAACGTGAATGCCAGGTGCAGGAACTTGGCCCTGATCCTGCAGGCGCACTAGAGTCAGAAAGGGGATTCAAGCAGAGAAGAGAGTCACCCAGCGGTCCCTCCTCCTGTGAGTCCCACTGTGAAGAAGCAGGGTCAGAGAGATCTCAACAGCAGCCACGGTGCCTTAGACAGTAAGCAGCCCTCAGTGTTTTGGTTCTGATTCTACACAGCCCCAAACTGTGGGCTGTGGCCTGCAGCAGACAGGGCGCAGCAGACAGGGCAAGAACCTGCTGGGAGGATCGTGAGAGGTGAGACCAGAAGCATGGCAGCTGGCCCACCAGGCCTCACGTTAAAGACACCTTTGGACCAGAGCCTCTTTAAGGGGTGAGGATGAAACTGCCCCCCCACCCCGCTTCTTCTGAAGGTGCCTCTAGCAACGAGCTTGTTCAGACAGCAGAGGGAATTCTTCACTTAAGGTTCAACCTTTCCAAGTCCGGTGTTTTGAAGAACCGGGAGGGATCTTCTCAGGCCTGGGAGGAGAGGGTGGTGGCCCTGGGGAGACTGTGAGCCCAAGTGCAGCTCAAGCCAGCAAGGAAACGCGCAGGTGGAGCAGCTCCCGCTGAATCAGCCTGTGGCTGCCTGGTGTCTGATGGATGGAATGAATAGTCTTTTATGGTGACATCATCCAAAAGATGTCCATGTCAGGTCACAGATCTATCCGTTCCACAGCTTGGGAAACCAAGGCCCGAAGGAAAAAAGGAATTTGCCCAGAGTAAGTTGAATTCATGAGACACTGCAGGAAATGCGTAACTTGGATCTTTGCACACAAAATAGTTACTACAAGAAGCAGCTAAGCCACCATCGCCAGTGAATATATTTTAAATACTTTCATACCTTAAATGCCATAATGACATAAACATTGTTTCTTTCCCCTGCCAAGGGAGCTCCCGATAGCAGACCCCTGCTTAGATCTCTTTGATTCTATAACCTCTAAACATGAGCACAAGGATGCATTTACCTCCCCTGTCGAGCAAAAGAGCCTCAAGGAGGAGACCTGGCCTCTGGAATCGTGCAGACTTGGGGACAAGTCTCAGCATTTCCTCCAGCCTGCTCCATCTTGTACCACTGACCATGTCTGGGCATCAGGGCTAACCTTGCAGAATTACTCTGAGAATTCAATTAGCTGAGATATGTACAAGTCCAGTATCTGGTACATTCTCTTTTTTTATATATAATTTTTTTTCTTTATTGATTTTTAAAGAGAGAGGAAAGGTGAGGGAGAGAGAGAGAAACATCGATGAGAGAGAACATCGATTGGCCACCTCCTGCATGCCCCCCACTGGGGATTTGGCCCACAACCTGGGCATGCACCCTGACTGGAAATTGAACCGGTGACTTCATGGTGCGTGGGTCAACACTCACCCCTGAGCCACACTGGCCAGGCTCTGGTGCATTCTCAAAGGAAGGGTAGATACAACTACCATCCATGTCATTGTCCTGACTACCACTGCCTGCTGAGTGACATGGGAAAATGTACTTCATCTGCCTGATCTCCAGGCTTTTTCTGTCTGTCAAAGGGATTTAATAACACCTCTTTTGTGGAGTTACTTCAAAGATTGAGTGGGTGAAACGGGGCACCTGGTACATATAGGAACCCAGGTCATTTATGTTTTTGTTCCCCAACTTCCACAGTCTATTGTAAAAGCCTAATCGAAAGCAATCATTTTTAAAAAAATACTAAGACGCTTGATGGCAAAATAAGAAATAAACAGATTTCCTTTCGCCCCCAAATGGAAACGGAATGGTAACTGTCTCCATGAAAGGGTCACAGAAAAAGGCCTGGTGCCTCCGGTTCCCAGAGCAGAGGACGACAGCTAACATGTGCTCTCGTTTCTTAGGAAATTGTTCAGAGGACATCTTATGTATCCTGGAAAGGGCTCCACTCAAGAAGTCATGGGCCTACCTCCAAGGTCAGTAACCAAACCCAGGGACCCCGACCCTCTGAGGGCTCCTTCCTGTGGTCTTTCTGAAACTTCGGAGCCAGAGGTCCCAAGTAGAGGCCCATGGCCAAATGGGTCCTGCAGATGTATTCTGCTTAATCTGCAAGTTTTTTTTGTTTGTTTGTTTGTTTTGAATTAAAATGCCTTAGGGGGAAAAGAGGCATCACCTACCCGGGCCCTGGATGTATCTGTGCCCCCCCCATCCCCCCACCCCCGCCTCTCCTAATCAGCCCCTACAAGTTGCAGGCCAAGGGCATAGTGCTTCTCCTCATAGCAGGGAAGCAGGCTCTCAAGCTCTGTCTCTATCAAGTTAGTCATAAGAGGACCACAAAATGGCCTGGTCCCCAAATCGACAGCTTAATGAACATGTCAGCACAAGGCCAATTTGCATATTGCAGCAAGGTGAGAGGCCCTTGTACATGAAAGCAATCTTTTTTTTTTTTTTTAATACTAAGGCACTTGATGGCAAAATAAGAAATAAACAGATTTTCTAGATCACGGGAGCTACTTCCGGACCAGGAAAGATGAGATACGGAGGAGATGTCCAAGATTTCTTGAATAGCCCTTCTGCTCATTTTAGAAATTCAATTTTGCAGCTACCTTTGTTTGCATTCTTCAGTTGAATTGCAGTGAGGGCTGAAGGGAAGGCATAGAGGCGATTAAACCTCACACACCAGCTTCCCAGCTCTGAAAGGCACCTGACCAAGCAGGGCTGATTCTCGCTGCTTAGGGCTCCGAGAGACGAGGCCTCTACCATGAGCATGTTGGCTCAGAGGATCTGCTAATGCTCTGCTTTTCTATGGATCCCAGCCGGGGAGCCCCTCAGTGTGCATGTACAGGGTCTACACAGTGATATCTGTCTGCCCCTTCAGAGAGAGGAAGACATTTAAAACTTAGACAACAGTTCAACGATGCATCTTATTGTGAAAGTGAACAAACTGAGATTCTTCTGAACATCTTGATGCCTACACTGGTCACTGATTGAACAAAAATGAATGTCCTACTTCTGATATTTTGTGCCATGCCTGCCAAAGAGTAGTCACCCCCTTTGACCAAACATTGATTTGATTGATTGATTGACTGATTGATTGATTGATTGACTGATTGAAAAAAGGAACACGATAGTCCAGAACTTGTGGGGAATACAGTCCAGTGGCTTATAGTCTGAAAAGGCAAAGATAATAATTATAACAACAGAATAATAGAATGGGTGGACAACAATTCTATAGGAGGGAAAGGTCCAACACCTTGTGTGTTCTGACCCTCAGCCTTGGCTTTAGGGAAAGGGAAGAGGGGCCGTTTGGTACCTGTGCCTTGAATATGAAGCAGCACCTGGAAAGAGCCACACAGAATATATTCTGTTTGGTTGGGACAGCAGATAACATTATAGGTGACAAGAGTCTTGAATGGGGAACCTTGAATAAAGACTTCACATTTTCTGGTCTGCACCTGCCATCTGCCCAATAATTCTGTTTTGGTTTTTCCTTCTCTTTCCAGTGTCAAAGCACATAAACAAAACCAAGTTGTCTTGGAACAAAGATGGCATTGTCCACGGAGTCAGATATCAGGATGGGAGTCTGGTGATCCAGTTCCCAGGTTGGTACATCATTATTTGCCAACTGCAGTTTCACGTGAATTGCCCGGAACATTCTGTCGACCTCAAGTTGGTACTTCTCATCAACAAAGACGTCAAAAGGCAGACAGTGGTGACAGTGTGTGAGTCCGGAATGCAAACCAAGAACATCTACCAGAGTCTCTCTCAGTTCCTGCTGGAGCATCTCCAGGTCAATGCCACCATATCGGTCGAGGTGGATAAAATTCAGTATGTGGATACAAAAACCTTTCCTCTTGATAACGTGCTGTCCATCTTCTTATACAGTGGTTCAGACTGAACCCTTTCTCCTCGCCTCTACCCGACAGCACTGCATCCATCCAAACACTTGGGCAAAGAGGAAACTTTAGACCATGACTGAAACCACAAAGGGTATTACATACTACGCTTTTCCTTCTGTCTCTTGGGAAGACACAGCTCCAGGGTTTAAAAGAAAATTTCGAGTGAAGCATCTTTCAGAGAGAAGGCAGGGAAGCAATGTGGCGCGGTGGACAGACGCCCCATGGGAATCAGAAGGGATGGATGTGTGCCCCAGCCACTGGCTCACTGTACGACCTGGAGCTATTCCTTTTCCCTCCTTGGAACTCAGGATCCACGTCTGGGAAATGAAGGGGCTGGATTGGAACCTCTCCAAAGTCTCCTCCATTTCAGAAGACCAGCCCCTCTGGTCACAGACCCATGAGCTAAGCTTCCAGACAGGGTTCTGGAAGCCCCCCACCAATGGGAAGGCCCCCACACCAGGACAAAACCAATGGTACCAGCAGCATCTGGCTGTGTATCACCTCAGCAGAGGCAGAATTTGGAGACAAGGTTCAGGGCACCTTGCCACAGAATGTGACTTGTAGGACCTAACATGTGTCAGAGAAAGGACTGCCAAACTGACCACACCAAAACTGAGAGGCCTTGTGGATATCTGGAAACCCATCTGACCAGGCTTGACTCCTTTCCGGTGAAGATGTACAATCACTCAACAAAAGACGGCTTCTGGTTGCTCCAGGAGGGGGCTGGGCGTTCCGCACACGCTCACGTCAGTGTGCAGGGGGCTAGGGTCCTTCGATCGGGGCATAGCTGCCACCATCCCCCACGTGATCTCACTCTGCTCCCTGCTGCAAACATCTCTCAGAGACCATTTCTATGGAGGCTTTCTGAGCCCCACAAAGTTGTTCATAGACGAGGATGACCCTGAAAATGATGGAAAGGATTGCTGAACAAGGCAACCTCCTCTCCTGATTGGGTAGCCAGGAGACTTCTCTAGCTGCATCAACCCTGACCTCTGCCCATCGTCTTCGAAGGAGCATCTCGTTGTTTCAAAGGACCATTGGACTTGAAGTATAAGCCACTTACACTTGAAGGTTACGCATCAGAGAGAAAAGGGACCCTGCGGGGCCAAAGACGGGGCAGAATTTGCATTTTTCTCAAGAAGGAGGGGAGAAAAGAAAGAATTTTGTCCAAGATTAGAAAAGGTTTAAAAGAAGAAAAAAAAATCACTGGTGGTGGTATGGATGAGAGGGACTTGGGACAGCAGAAATGACAAAAGGAAAATGTTAAGTCATTTGCTGAGCAGCATGCTCTGGTGATTCCTCCTAGGTCAAGGAAATACTCAGTAAAGTCTGTTTCTCTTAAACGCTCTCTGTGAGTAGATTCTTTGGGAGCAGGGGGTAGGAAAGAGGTGTTGAACTCTGCAAGACAAGCAGTATGTGATAAAAATAAAGGCAGGCTATGAGAACCCAAAACTAGAGAATAAGGAGACCTCTGGCATTTGGGTTATATCCTAACTCTGCAGGACAAATGACTCTTGCCCCAAACCCCCTCCTGCATGCATTCTGGAAAAGGTATCTGCAACCTAAGCATGCGTAAAGTAAGCACATTGTTTAACGTTTCATACTTCAATTCAAGAAGGATTCCATGTGCACTGTTCACCAACCATCCCTGAGCAGAGGTGCCTGACTTTGACTATGTGTGGGATTCCCAATATCAGTGTCTCTCAAGCAATACTGACAGCCAACAGCTGGCGACATAGGGGCTTAGCATTCAAAAGAATCTGGTAGCAAGACAAAGCAGTAAGAGAGCAATCTTTAGTAACTCCCCTGATAGATACATACGGAGTGGACAACCTAGAAAGTTCAAAACTAAATTCTGTTACTCCCTGAGCGTTAACCAGCCCCTGGGAATATTATGAGCAAATGACACAATCTATATAAATAAAGTAAATGATTTTGGTAATTGGAAACTCGGGCTACCTGAAGCATATGCCTTTTTGGTAAAAACTCAACTACTCTTCCCTCCACCTCTCAGCACACACACACCCCATACGTGTAGAAGGAGGGAGAGTTGGTGAAAAGTAACAAGTCACTGTAGACTACATATATCCCTGCCCTTGCAAAATGTTACACCACTGATTATTCTACACAAGGACAAAGCCCTTAAGTTAAGAGGATAGAGTAGTCTGTCTGCGTCATCTAGAAAGATCCTGAGAGATCAGCTGAGCCAATGTTTGTTTTTTGTTAATCCTCACCCTAGGATATTTTTTCCATTGATTTTTAGAAAGAAAGGAGTGAGGGGAGAGAGAGAGAGAGAGAGAGAGAGAGAGAGAGAGAGAGAGAAACATCGATTGAAAGAGACACAGCGATTGGTTGCCTCTAAATGCACCCTGACCTGGGGCTGCTGCAACCCAGGTACATGCCCTTGACTGGGAATCAAACCTGGGATCCTTCAGTGTGTTGACCGATGCTCTAACCACTGAACCACACTAGCCAGGGCTACGCCAATGTTTGAATGGAAGCCCAAGGCAAGGCAGGGACTTGTCGAGTCCTTACACATGATTAGTAGCAGAGCTAGAATTTGAGCCCAGCCTCCTCCTGACTCCTGTCTCCACTGTCCCCCACCGGGCTTTATTGGTCCCCACCACAGCCTTTCTGTAATTCCCCAGTATTCAGGGCTGCCCTCTGTTTGCCGGGCCCCACCCAGCCACTCCAGGATGGTCATTCTAACTGAGACACAGATGGCCTGTAGGTTCAATACATGGTCAAATCTCAGAAAAAGGTCAGAGTGCCATGATATGATGTAAAAGTTCTTTCTCTCAAAACTGAAGAAATAGGTAAAGCTAGTATTGTTTCCAATAAAGAATTAAAAGCATGTTTTAATTTGAAGTTCTGTATATATATATGGGTATGTATATGTGTACATGCATATATGTGTGTATACATCTGAATATGTATATGCATGCATGTGTATATGCATATGTGCTCGTGTGTGTATTATATATGCATGTAGAGTGAGTGAGTGTGTGTGTGTGTGTGTGAGTGTACTTTCCCCTAGTAATTGTTCTAAAGGTCATTTGTTTAATCTGGGGTCTAAGGAGGAAGCCTGATTCTTGCTCTGGGCATTACAAAATCTATATCCACTTGTATTTATTTTTAATTATAAAAAGAACAGAAAGTAATATTTTCCCCATGCCTTATGAGCTTATTTAATAACTATTAATATTTTTGCTATATCTGTCTCTGCTTCTTTTTAAAAATAAAATAATACACATAGAGCTACAGTCTTAGTGCCCTCCCTGTCCCTACACCCTCCCCAGAGAATAACCGCTGCCTGCAATTTGTATGTTCCCTTCACTTATACGAATGTATCCTCGTTTTCCCGTCAGAATACATAGAGCTTTGTGTGCATTTTACATTTTCAATAAATGATATCACACTTCATGTAACATTTTGTGGTTGACTTTTTCCGTGTAGCGTCGTGTGTTGTAGAGTCACGCAGACCGACCCAGGAAGACCCAGCTCTTTCACTCAGCGGCTGTCTGCGCGTTTCGGGCGCCGACAGCGCGGTGTGCCCGTTCTGCGCAGGCACGTTCCGTCTGTCCCCGAGCCTGCTGCAGCAAGGCGCACCCCCTGTACCGCTCCCACCTTGTTGCCATTCTTCCATACGGCAAATATACTCTTTAAAAATTATAAATACAGTGCTTCCCCCTTTATCCACAAAAAACATATTCGAAGACCCCCAGTACATGCCTGAAACCATGGAGTACCAAACCCCACATAAACTGTTTTTCCCCTACACATATATGCCTTTTTACTTTAAAAAAAAAAAATGCATTTTATGGCTTCTCTTTGGCGTATCCGATCTGCAGCATCACTGCTCTTGTGCTTTGGTGCCGCTGTGAGTGAGAGAGGTGACTTGACCATAAGCACGTGAAACTGCAGCCATAGCCCCGATAACCAGGACAGCTGCCGAACGGCCAGCAGCGGGGAACCGGCGCGGCAGGACGGGCACAGGGTGAGTCGTGTCCTGGGTGGGACAGAGCTGGAGGGCGCGCCATCCCGTCACGCTCCTCAGAACAGCCTACAACATAACACTTATGAATCGTCTCTGGAACTTTCCGTTCAATATTTTCAGGCCACAGTGGACTGTGGGTACGAGAAAGCACGGACAGTGGAACCACCAATAAGAGGGGCTGCTGTAGTAGCCGACGCGACCCAGTCCTCCTTGGCCGGAGCGATGAGACCCCTCCTCTGTGGTCACAGCTCATGAGCTGGGGCTTCGGAATCTGAGAAGCTCTTCCATCTTTCCTAAGGACTTCTCTGCTCTGTGCGTGCATTCCACACATGCGTGAGTGCCAGTGTGGTGCCCAGTCCCCGCCAGTTCATGTGTGTGCCACGGTTCTGCCAGGCTGCGTGTGCTTGGAACACGCTTTCCACAGCACTCTGGGCTTCCCCGGAGCCGGCTCTCTTTCTGGAGGGTATATGAAAAATGCCAGGGTGCAAAAGGGCAAGCAGAACCCCGGAAGAAAACTTCTGCCACAAGATGAAATATCTGTGTTCCCTGGGGTCTGTTCCAGACCGCTTTCTCGTGACACTCTGCACTGTCTCCCTGGGTGACACCTCCTGTGGCTTCAAATATCTTCGTGCCCCTGACTATATGATCTAGATATCCAGCATCGATTTTCTCCGAAAACCCAACCCTATACATTCAGTAGACTCCGGGCTCTATGCATAGTTCCCTCTGAGAACTTCCAATGGAGCATTGGCACCCAACATCCAGTGCAGTGACTTTTGAGGGTTTTTATTACCATGACCCAAGGGAATAAATGTTCTACTTTGCAAACAAGGATGCATACACACACACACACACACACACACACCCCTAAGACAAAAGTTTTGTTACATTAAGTAATAGTTGCCCTTACTATTTGACTAAGGGGAAAAAAATCTTGCTGTGACCTCTTGAATTGACTTTGTGATGCTTTCATGAGTCACAAATTTGCAAACTACCTTCTCTGCTCCAGAAGTTGGAAAACTAACGCTATACTTTCCTTCTTCTCTTGCAGCTTGGGCTCTAGAAGAGCTGCATCTGAGATGGACAAGATTTTGCAAGGCTTGCTCCTTCGGCTGCAAGCCCAGCTCTGGGAGCCTTTGGTTTCTCTGCAGCTGCATTTGCAGAGATCCCCCGTATTCAGACACGAGCTTAGGAAGTGTGGCGAGTCTGGGTGTGGGGAGAGGAGCATCCACCCTGCCGACATGGTCTGGTGCAGATTTCCACTGGTTCTAGGACTGGTGACAGAAGCAGCTTCCTGACTGTCGTGGTTTCCTGTTCAAAACAGCAGTACTGTGGCTCCTGAGGGCTCCCTGGTTGGAAGACTGTTGAAGAGACAGCAGCTACCGGAGCAGCCCCGTTCCTAGGACAGGGGTCAGAGGTTGCTCCTGAAACTCAAGCTGGATTCTATTTCCTCAGCCCTCTTGACAATTCTGTAAGCCATTTAATACCCTGTGATAAAGCTAAACTTCCTGTTTTCTGCAACTGATCCCTGATAGATATAATCTCAGCATGTACAAAACTGACCTCATGACATCCCAAGCTTTTAACCATTCCTATGTTCCAAACCTCAAAGTCTACGTGAGTTTCGCATAACCCTCCTTTCCTATTTCCCATCCAGTCCCCATCTGTCCGATCCTCCCAGCTCTCTAGTCCCAGCCACCGTCATCTCACTTGCGTTTACTCTCCACACCTCCCAACTCACATCCTTGCAAATCCAATCTCCACACAGCAAGAACAACTCTCCGTCATTCCTGAACATGATCATACTCGTTTGCTCACCGTTTCATGTACTCACTCCTTTAGTCCTCAAAACAAGCCAGTATGAGGTAGGCATTATTATCCCCACTCAGCAGACAATAACATTAAGACTCAGAGACACTGAGTAGCATGGCCAACATCACACGGCCAGTGGGTGGCAGAGCGGGGATTCAAGCCCCGGTTCGCGAACATCCACCTCCCAAAATCCCATGCTCCAATCACTGCAAATGCAGCCTTCCTAAAATCTGAGGTCCCTAAACCCGCTCCCTCTCCATCTAGATCCTGCCTTTCTCTCTGGCTCCATGCCACCTCACCTCCTGGCACTCTATGCTCAGATCACATTGAATTTCTCCCACGTTCTCAAACCTCCTGCGCTCAACTTTGCCACCAGGGGTTTGCAGATGTTCTTTCTTCTGCCTGGAACAGTTGTTTCTCTCTTTTTGGCCTGGTTAACTCCTCTCATTGTTCTGAGCTCAGAGAAGTCATCCTGACTTCTGGTCTCACCTCATCCCCTTCTGCCTTCTTCCATACCTGTTCTGTCCTTAAACGCACAGCTGTTTCGTTCAGCCCTCGCTCCCACTACAGTTTCTCTCAAACCATCCACATCCCTCACAGGCAGGGACCCTATCTTATTCAGCACTGAGTCCGCACAGCCCAGCACAGCTCCTGGGACAAAACAGAGTCACTCGATGGCTGTTTCTTAAATGAATAACCAAAGAAAATATCTTTAAACACAGGCCTTATTTCTAAGGGAAAGCTAGAAAATAAGCCCCCCCCCCCCACACACACACACACAAAAGAATGAAAAGTCATTACAAAAACCATGGAAATGTGAATTGAAAGCCATATTTTTCCTTCATCCGGTTCTGTAGCACTCAGGAGAGTAAGAATGCTGATTAAAGAAAGGGAAATGTTTCAGAAAACAAAACCCACTGCTGCCACCTGAATTTGGAAGGAAAAAGTCAAGCGCTCACTTAGTTGACCGAACCCCTTATGAACTGGTGTGGTATACCCTCTACATAATTCATCCCTATCCCTACCCGTGTGAGATCGCTAGATACCGTTCCATTCATTTCGTAGGTGGAAACACTCACCCTAGAGAGTTTACATCAAATTTTAGCTTACGTTACAATCACCTGAGGGGCTTCTTTAACTCCTCGGGCCACGTCTCAGACCAATTAAGATAAAATCTCTGGCCCTGGCCAGTTTGGTTCAGCAGTTGGAGCATTGGCCTGCAGTCCGGAGAGACCCGGGTTCAGTTCCCGCTAAGGGCATGTACCTCGGTTGCAGTTTGTCCCCGGCCCTGGTTGGGTCGTGCGGGTGGCAGCCGCTCGATGTGTCTCTCTCACATCGATGTTTCTCTTTCTCTCTCCTTCTCTCTCCCTCCCACTCTATCTGAACAAAAAATGGAAAAATATCCTCGGGTGAGGATTTAAAAAAAAAAGATAGAATCTCTGGGGTTAGAAGCCAGGCATCAGGATTACCTGAAGCTCCCAAACTTCAAAG